GTTGTGCGCCTGGATTTGGAGTGGTTGGCATGTCCTACTATTGAACCTCTGCAATGAATAGTGCTAGCCTGAAGCACATCTGTTCAGAAGGCTAATCCACAAAAGGCTGGTCCATTGCATAATGCTCCCACTGGGCAACCACTTCAGCTGGCACAAACAAGCTGTACAACAATGGTGTGTTGCTGAAGCTAGCCTCAGTAAGGCTATACGTGCCGAGCACAAAGAGAGGTCTGCTAAGTTGCTAAATGGAGCCGACTTGCATTTAAGTGCTGCTAACTGTCTGTGGCAGAGCTGTTGGCCTCATTTCAGAGGCCTCCCACTGGCTTTTCCCCTTTATCTAATCTCTCCCTCTTTCTTATTTTGCACTCTTCCTTCGTTCTTTTCAATCAGCCTTTGCTTTCTCCGTCTCATCTCTGTTTTCTTTTTATCCATATTGTCACATCTGTCTTTTAGTTTGTGTTCCTCTGCTCAGTGCACCACATGCTCAACCAGGTCACCTTATTATTCTTTGTTGTTTTTGATATTCTGAAGTCAAAGCCCTGTAATCTTACATAATACAGCTCCAGATAGAGTACAATGGCCTGTCAAGGTTAAGACCATCATAGACAAAGGAACTGAAACACTATTTATCACGAGCAGGAAAGCTGAGATTTAGTCAGGTCATTAGGATTTAGCCAAACATTAATATATTGTGTGTAGTACTGTGGGTTGTTGTGTGTGTGTGTGTGTGTGTGTGTGTGTGGTCTTATTCTGGCTGGGTTGGCTGAGTGCAAAGCTTACAGCACCATTGTTAAATTTCAGGACAAGCTACACAATGACATTAGAGATCTAGTGAAGGTACATGTATAGTCTCAGTGATTCAAGGTACAGATATATAATATAATAGATGGTTTACATGCACAGTGGGTTTGCCTCTCACATTAGCAATCATAACTCCAAATTAAGAGTGCATGTTTTGGGGAAATGTTGGTAAGAAGACCTGAGTTGACAGCCATGTTTTGAATGTTTGAAATTTAAAGGACAACTGCAGCATCTACTTGTATCAATTCCTCCAAGGTTTACACAGCAATTGGTTGTCGCACATATGCATAAAAAGTGGTGCTAAGTGGCAATTCCTGTCAAACTGATGTTAAGAGCTGGTTGGTTAATGGTGTCCATAATTTGTGGTTAAAAAAAAGAGTAAAACATGAGAGAAAACTGATAAAAACAAATAGAAGGACATTACTGGTTGTTTTGTGTTAACTGACATAAAGATCGTTCATTTCAATGGGATCATTGTGATCAGTGGATCAGCTTATTGGGATGAAGTATACCAAGTTGAACTTTAATTAACTTTGACTTGCAAATTTGTGCAGTTGACAGTCCTGGACAATTAAAAAGTGATGGAAGCTGTATGATGGATAAATCTGCTGTGCTGGAGTATAAACTGCACTGCTTGGTTTGCAGACAGTTATGAACAAACTGGGTAAACTTATTGTGGGGTTAGTGAGCGAGCGAGCTAGCAGTCAGCCATGTTGGAGAGCTGTGATGATTGGTGGCTGGCATGTTAACCACTTGCTAGTGTGTAGCATTTAGTTCATCAGCAAGCCAGCTATGATGACATTGAATATCAAGAAAACTGCAAATGCATCATGCATTGGTACCAAAAATGGTGGTTGTGCAACCCATGGATGTATTAACCTTTTGAAACCTGAGCAAATTGGCTTGATTTCTAGGGCTGTAGTCAACCAAAGAAAATCTTAGTTGACTGAAGTCGTACATTATCTTCAACTAATCGGTTAGTCGTGGAAAAAAAAAACGCACGTTATTTTTACTTCTGTGGTGGTGTGTCTGTCACTCTGCAGTTACACCTTCAAAACACTAGTTGGTGGTGGAGGACTGTGTTAAGTGCTGTAAAGTTTAGATGATTCAAAACATACATTAAACACACATTAAATATGGCTTAATAGAGACAGTTCCAAACACAAGTATGCAAATTGGCTTCACTATAAATTGCAGCATTGACAGACAATCACTGACAAAACAACTGTCACACTAAACACGTTTTCCAAACAAATACAACATGCTAACATTATTAGCGCCAGCCTATGGCATTTTACATTGTATAAATTAGCCTAGCGACAAGCGGAGGTTTCCTCTGTTCATATGAAGCCAGGATAAGTATAAATCCCTGAAGGATAAATCACACATAATAAAATGCTATTTTAGTGGAGGCTTTCCTGTCTTCACAATTTATTGTTTATCTGTGAAATACAAGTAAATACAAGCTTTGTTTCCACTGAGGGAAATGGTGTCAGTATACAGAAACAGACAGGAGGTCTGTGTCACCGCGATGCGTTAGGGTGGGCGAGTTCAACGTTGTGTAAACAAAGGGGTGTTTTGGACCCCCCCCCCATTTTCACAGGTAATTTAGCCTGTCCCTCCCGCCGCAGGAAATAATGGATTAATCCTGGAAAGCTGTTGATGTAGCACTTTTCTCCTTATGAAAGTAACACGGCGATTATTCAACCAATGAGAATTTGGTCGGACAAGAGCATAACAACCAAATAATTGGCCAGTTGACCAGGAGACTACAGCCCTATTGATTTCTTTTAAAAATATGGGAAGAAGGCAATGAGCAACGAAAGAAGAAATGACTCAGAAAATAAGCAAGAAATGATCAAAGAGAGAAAATTGGAATTAAGAAAATTAGTTTTAAAAAAAAGAAAGAAAAGAAAAAGAACAAACAAACAAGGAAATGACCCAGAGAGTGCTTACAAGTTATAATAAATCTGTAACATCATTTTGAACATCATGAAATAATAATTCCAATTATAAAAATAGTTTTTTAAATGTATTTTAAATCTATGTGTATTTGAAAGAAATCACAACAATTTGCTTAAGGTTCAAAGGCTTAAATACAAGCAGCACAAGAAAAGTGATGTTTCTCCAGGTTTCAAAGGGTGAAGAGACCTGGATACAGATTGGTGGCGTACGTACTCTAAGTGAAAGCATTGCAAGGGAGTGCCATTAACCCTACAGAGCAAAAGGAATGTGTTGCCTTCATTTCCACTCATTTGGTTCCTCCAAGTGGAGAACCTCTTTAAAATTTTCTAACACAGTGTTGATTTAGAGTGAATGAGTGTAGCACACTGCCTGCTCCTGGCAGTGCTGATAAGGTAAAAATGTCTTGAAGGTTGCTTTGATAAAGCTGTGGGTCTGGGCTGGAGAATAGCCTTCCACCCTCACTGTGAAGGAATGCAGAATATGTTTGCACAACCTCCTCGATGTTGCAATACTGGCCAGCAAGGACAGACATACGTGCGTCCGAGTCTGTGTTTGGCTGGGAGAGGGAGAGCTCAGGGTGTGCCTGTCTTAAAATAATCAAGGATTTCATTGTGGAATTTATGGGGTTTAATCATTCCGTCATCTAAGGCATGAATTTTCTTTTGGACCATCTTGTGGTTTCAGTTTGTGCTTTTTTTGTATAAATGGAGCCTGACACTGGACTTTTGAGGCTCATGTTGGTATCATTTTAGTTTTGATTTTTTTTTTTTTTTTTTTATACAAACTTGTAAAACAAACAAACAATCTTGACATGGACCCCTCACATTTAGAAATTTAGAACGAATTGTGACCATGGTGCATACTGAGCAGGACATGTTACAGTTGAAAAATCAACTTCCCAGTGCTCTCTGGTGGACGAACTATGTAATGGAGCAACCCAGCTAAAAATACCCACGTTTGGGGGCTAGAGAGCTGCTGGAAACGCAGTGATGACTCGCCAACAAAATAACCAGTTTTGTAGTTTGTTGGTGTTGAATGGTGGTCTGCAGCTTGGCAGGTGTCTCGCCTAGGTAACACGTCGTCATCCACTCCACCTCCAGAGGACAAAGTCAGCTAACATACTACTCTAAGTCAGAGTCCTGCACAGGACAATTTTTGAAAACCCAGACCCGCTTTACCCGTAAAGCTCAGTACCAGGACCGACCTGTTACCCGTCATTGTGTCCAAGTCAAAGCTGCATCTGCCCACACCTGTTAATAAAAGTCCAGCGACCTGACCTGCACCCATGATTAAACACACACAGGCTACCGTCACTCACATTAAGCTGGGTTCCCTGTTCTTGAATTACAAATCCGGCAGAGGGATAGTCTCTTTCACTGGCTGTACTTGATGCCGGGATGGTGAAAACACTCCGTGCAATCACTGCCAGGTTAGGACATATTTTAGCATGGCATAAAACCTCTAAAGGATCCTCCTTAGGCTGCCACCTCATCCTTGGGCTGCAAATTTTAATTGCTGGAGTCCTCCACGTTGGGGACGAATGTGAAGCTAGGGTCAAAGGTTTGACTTGTATCATTGACTTTCAAAATAAAATGAATTGCGGCTTAATAATAGTGATTTAGATGTCAAAATAGTAAACGTATACTGCACATCCTTTTCACTTGTTTTATCCTGGACAAGACAACCATTTACGCTCGCATTCACACCCACAGCCAATTTAGAGTCACCTATTAACCTAACTTGCATGTCTTTGGACTGTGGGAGGAAGCTGGAGTACCTGGAGAAAACCCATGCTGACAAGTGGAGAACATGCAAACTCCACACAGAAGCTTTACCACACTACAATACCTGAAAGGAACGAAACTACTCTGAAAACAAGTGTAAGTAAAACACACCAATGGTTGACTTTGGCAGAAAGTAAAATGGGACAGAATGGCTTTGCTAAGGTAGAATAATTTGGCACTGTGTTTGGGATTTGCTGTAGAGGGTACTGCTCATGCTCATACACTATAAAATGAACCCCAGACAATTTCAACAAAGACAATACAGTACCTCTGGCTTATATAGGACAGCATAACATTATGCAAAGACTGTGAAGGTGATATACAGTAGTGCACAGAGCTCTCAGTGTTCCCATGAAAAGAGTGCTATAAAAGCATCCAGAGACAGGTCTCTAGGAAAGTGTAGCTGTCATCCAGTATGGGCTCCAATAGGCACAGCACAGCCACTAAAAATAGTCCACAAGGTTTAAATTTAGGTCAAAATGTGTTGTGTGCAGAGGATGCTACTGTTAGATTCAGGGCTACGACTGCCATCTTGTGGGTGAAATGGTGCAATTGCAATGTGGATCAGACAGCAGGTCCTTGAAAAAAACTCAATCATGTGGTACGATCCCTGTTGAGGAAGTGGGGAACATTTGATGCACAAGCACACAAAGAATTTATTTGCGTACACCTCCTCTGATGTGTGCTACTTGAAGTGTGTGTGTGTGTGTGTGTGTGTGTGTGTGTGTGTGTGTGTGTGTGTGTGGTGTGACAAGAAGATGAAGAGAAGCAGCCTGAAGGGGGAATGAAAGCAAATAAGGAGGGAGGGGAGAGAAGAGAGAGCGACACAGACACACGAGCGAAGCTGTTCTGTGAAAGCAGGAGGAGCAGGAAGGCAGGATGAGGAGAGGAGTAGCGGAGGAGGTGCAGGAGACCACCATGAGATCTGGGGTGTGAAGGCGGTAACAATTAGCAGGAGAGATGCTGCTCACGCTGCTTTTCTACCTTCGAGTCAAAGGTAGGGGTCAGAGTGGATGTGTCTGTCACAGGGATTCAGTCAATATCAGGTCACCTGAGGTGTGTGCAGTGACAGCCTGAGAGCATGTCAGACTCAGTAGGAAGGTGGCATGGGAACGGAGTTGAGTTGAGGTGAGCTGCTTTGCCTTTTTGCCAGCGATGAAATCATTAATATTCACCCAGGGATGGAAGTAGGTTACTTTGATCTTCCTTCTTTTTAATACTAATCATGCAAATACACTGACATCGCTGCACTGTCTTGTTGCATGCACCCCATGGTTTGAATGCAATCTTAGCAACTAGATCCATTTTCCACAAGGTCAGTTAGACTCCAGAGTAACTGTTTAACAGAGTGTGTCTTTCATCCTCACATCAGCAGCTGCATCTAAATTGAATATCCCCTGTTTTTCCTTGCTGGGAGCATGTGAGGCTTTCCTCTGTAAGCTGCACATTGTCAGCCCTGACAACTTGTGCCTCTTGGTTCTTCTCAGTACCATGTGTGCTGTCGATTTGGATCTGTGTAACCCATTTAAACCATCAGTCTATCTGTCTCCACGAGGCAGTGACTAGTAACAAAGTTAAAGTCTGTCTCTGTACATTGTTTTAGGATAGTGAAGTTTCTTTTAGCCATTTCCAGCAGTCTTGGGTAGGACGTACTCTACATAGTCGCTGCAATCATACAAATTAGTTATTGAAATTGTATGATTGCCATAGAGAGTGACTTGCGATTAAAAACTTAATTACAGAAGTCATTCTGAAATTAAGTATTATACATGGTATACTTTATACATAGCACTTGATACACATAGTAGGGGTGGGGGAAATAATTGATTCCTCGATGCATGGCGATGCAGACATGGATGATTCGGCATTGATTCACAAATGTCAATCAGTTATCTAAATGTTAATTAATAACGTGATATTGACAGAAACAAAGCGATGGAACTCAAGAACTCAAGAGTTAACTTCATGTTCACAAAAGTTACAAGCTTGTTTTGATTAATGTCTAAATAATTACCTGTGCCAGGCGAACATGAACTATGTTGTGAATACTTTGTTCTACTGTCACCCAGAGACAAACGTTAGTGGAGCAGAGTAGGGATCAGCAGTAATGTTAACAAATGAGGCTGACAAGCAGCTTCAGCCATTCCATTTTTCTATATTTTGATGTGACATTAATCAGAGTATGCACAGCTGCATGTAAACAGGAGTATAAGAAGAATATTCAGTTCATTAGCCATGTAAACAGCTTGGTAGGAATATTGTTTGTTTTTTTTTTTTAATAAGGACAAAAAATGCAATTTTCTGTGCATGCAAATGTAGTGTTTACCTCTCAGTTGCCGGCTGCGTGCGTTTTTTGGAGGCAGCAACAATACATCATGGTTAAATGAAAACATAAAATGAGTCATTTTGCCCTGGTCAGTGGGTGTTTGTTTTTTATTTTTTTGGTCTCAGCTCGACTGTTTCTAACATGGTGGCCAGGTCAAAAACTTTCTCATTTTACAGCTAAGCAGTACACTAAAATATGTTTCTAAATCTGAGGTGAGAAATAGGCAATGCAGTAACAGAATATTGATTCATATTTGATCAGCGCTACCTTTGACAATTAGACCTCAGTTCACAAACCGTAGTTGACACAATAGTGTGAGACACTCCCTGGCTCTGATTGGTTGTTTTCGTTGATGCACACAGGCCAATAAAACTCCAAGGCAATATAGTAGGCAGAGGAATGGGACTTTGTTCACAGACTGTCCGTCTCATTTGGTGCTGTGTGAATATAGTGACAGTTTCAGCAAATACGATTCGTCATATTTACTAGTTATTTTTGTTAAAGTATATAATTAAAAAATGTTTTTGTTTTTTTGTAAAAATGTATTTTGTTAATTATTGTTAAAGGAGCAATAAGCGAAATTCATCATTTCTAGATTGAAGGAATTAAAAAATTGCTATGTGAAGAACTAGAGGTGTAATTTAATCTGGAGTATAGCATGACCTCACACACCCTCTCTCTGTGTTGATCTCCAGCCCATTGTTTACAAGCCGGTCCGACTGCGCGTTCATGTGAATCCCCACCTCCCCCCACCCCTCTCGGAGCCCTTGGCCCTCCCTCCCTATAAAAGGCTACAGCCAGTGAGCAATGGCAGCGCATATTTTCGAAATGAAATGGCAGAGAGCGGAACGAAACCAGGGCTAACCGGTGCTTCCTCCTCAGGCTCCACTTCACTCAGCTGCCCCACAGATCCGCTGTCTCTCCCACTTTAACCTCAATAACAAACCGGAGCTAGCTGGGAGCGGCTGGTGAGGCGTTAGCCGCAGCATGACCGGAGGGAAGCACAGCCAGTTAGCCTCCGCTAGCTTCCCAACTAGCCCCGGCTCTCTGTTTGGATCCAACTGGAGCACCGAGCTCTGGTTTGTTATTCAGGTTAAAGTGGGAAGAAGCAGCAGGTTTATTGGGCAGCTGAGTGAAGCTGGGTGAAGTGGAGGCTGCGGAGGAAACACCGGGATGGGTTAATGTCCGGAGCTTGAGCAGCCCGCGAGCCAGGCGGGCTGCCTGGTGGGCTCCAGCCGACCCGGCTAGTGCTAACACCGGGAGCTAACGCTAACGTTCCTCCTCTTCTCTGTGAGTGAGAGCGATGTTTTAGCCTAGCAAGCAGCCCGTCTGGCTCGCGGGCTGCTAGGCAGGAGGGAGGAGTGGCTCATGACACACTTTGTTTTGGTCTACAGGCAGTGCACAACAGCAAACCTAGCGGTGAAACGATTTCGCTTTTTGCCCCTTTAATAATTTTGTTAATGTAAAGAAAAAAGAGAACCAAAATTGAACACGTCTAAAATCAAGAGAATACCCCAGATGCAGGAACATAGCCGAGGTTTTTAGAAATACTGAGGTCATGAACCCATTACAGAGAATTCCCATCCCATAGAAATTTTTACATGAAAAATCTTTTGCTATTTGGTTATTTCATGTTTCTGTGTTCACTCAACTAGTCAGTGGTGGTACAAACGTTAAGCGCTGGACTAAAATTCTGGTGGGTATACTGAATGCTTCATTTACAAGGACATGATCTCAGTGTCCTCAGTTACTGTGCTGCCCAGAAACATTAGTGCTGAAACAGTTTGGCAGTATTATAGTTGATCAACAGAAACTTTGTCAAAGACAAGAAATACCAAACGTGGAAGTTGTGGCCTCTCAAATGTAAAGACTTGCTTGTTTTGTTCTGTTTCATATAACCCTATTATCTTGGAAAAAGTGAGCAATTCAAAAGCATATCTTTGAGTTTTTAGAATATTTTATACTAATGTATTATTCTTTGACATTTTTTAGACTAAGTGATTACTGAACAAAAGTGAGTAGATTAATCAACTATGAAAACTATTTGGTAGTTGCAGCTCTAAAATACATGCATGAGTGAGTCTTCATACAAGGCAACTTACAGTAGACTATAGGGGATTTGAAACCAATCCAGTTGTCAGTTTGTTGTGAGATGAACAGACAGAAGAGGTATTAAGTCTCCAAGTTAAGTTTCGCCAGGTAAATGAACAATCAGTGAAAAAAGTCGGTTAAACATTGCTGGAAATACCAGTCAGTTGAACTAAGTTTTTCTTATTATTTTATTAATGTACACATTTAAATGACATAAAATACATGTTCTAATGAGAGATTTTTTTTTTTGTTTTTTTATTGTAGGCTGTTTGCTATGTGATTGCATTCACCCAATGAAAGTGTCATTGTAATAATAAGATACGTTTTCTAAAGATTTATTTTCTTAAAGAATATTATTTTCAACAAACATAGTTTGTTCGCTTATTATTTCATATGTTGTTGTCACATTTTGTAGGATAATTTGCAATGTTCATAATGCACAGTGTTTAGTGCAACACATTTCAGCGGCATTTAAAATACAATTTGGTCATTAAAAATTGTGATTAACAATTTCAAATGGCTCTTAGTGTATACATGGTATTTTTCAGGAAATTTTTAACCTCATAGATTAACTGTGTGCCATTTTAACTGTTTTCTAAGTGCTTTCTAACTTTTAGACTAGTCATCTAGTCTAGGTTTAAACTTCCGTTTAAACGTCAGGGAAATTAGTCATAGTCAGGAACATTCCTAATTCACAATGCTGTTAAGATGTCTCACAGTTGTAGAGTCAAGCTGCAATTCTTCATCTCAAACAACAATGTTTTGTAGTAGTTAAAGGTTTTTTTTAGGCAAGTGACATTTTCATTTAAATGTTAATTGATCAGATGGAATTTTTGAGTGATTGTTTTCCAAGTTCTTTTTTTTTTTTTTTTAGCAAAAAGTTAGTGATGAGTTAATGGAATATAGTCTGGCTGTTGGAGGCTGGTTCAAATCACAGACTGTATAAAATAAGGGAAGTAGCTACTGTGATGGTACCTATTGGTTCAGGGACTCCAATTTTGAGGCCTTGTGTTCTGCATTATGGCCACTGCCATCTTTTTTTTTTTTTTTAGAGCTAGAAGTGATCCTATCTGGACAAGACCATGGACATAACCCTAGAACAAGCTGCTGGCTTAGTTAGCGGGTTGCGTTAACAGCTAGAATTAACTGTGATAACACTAATGCTAATGCTAATTTTTGCGAGCAAACCTAGACTTAAAACCGTTAAAACAACCCTTAGAGGGTCTTTCAGTACACCCAAACACTGAACAAGACTGAACAAGACCAAAACATCACTGTTAACTTTCATGAACCTGAAACTGAAAAAGTGACGGCTATGGCCATGCTCTGTGAACCTAAGGTTACACCATGGTTGCGTTACCTCACCAATGTTGTTTTCTAGGTAGTGACTTGTCAACGGATGGCAAATGCTTGTAACTCAAAGCGTCCATGCTCTTAATTATGTAGACCTTTAAACTTAATTACATGTTGAAATTAGCTGTAGAGAACATTTTTGTTGTTGTTGTTGTAAACATGTTTATTTCTGCTGTTGAGTTGGGCATTTTAACATGGGTTCATTGGGATTGACTGGCTTTTGGAGC